CAGGAGGATTGTCAGTGTAGTATCAGGGAATTATCAAACATAAAAAAAAAAGGAAAAAATTACAGTTGCCATGCAGTGCCTTTACTTACATCAGTGTTTTAAAATAGCAGTTTCATTGAAAGATGAATCGCCATCATTTTCCTTGAAGTAATAAAGGAAAAATTCCAAGTCTGCCAAACACTTATCCTTGTGAGCAGCTTTAATCCTGTGAGTAGTTCTGCTGAGGAAAACAGAACTCCTCATGGCAGTAAGTACCTGTCACTCTTCCAGTACTCAGTGACAGACACAGTATACTTAGGGAAGTGATACCCTGTACAGGAATCAGCTGACATCTCGTGCACCGGACAGACTTCGTGAGTGGGAGCAAAGAGCTACTCAACCCGCAGAGTAAGCTCACAGAAACCGAGAGAAGCATTTTCCTCATCTCTGATTATTTTTGCAGCAGTAACTATCCTTGGTATTACTAAGAACAACAAGTAAAGAAGTCCTGAGGCAGGAACAGGTTTTAAAGGATGCCCCTTGAAGACAGATCAAAAATGGAATATTTAAATATATGCTGGATACATTCTTTTCAGTCTTAAAACGACCAGGTAAAACTGCAGGAACTGATTTGGAAAGGAAGTCTTGATTCCTCTTCCATAACCTCACGCAGCCATTTCAGCCACCACTTGCTCCTTGACAGCACATGGCTTGCACCATATGGTCTTACCACAGACATAAGCTTGAGGCCTTGGCTCCGCACTCAGATGTATGTAGAGATGTCAAGTGTGAAGAGCTGAACAGCCTTTGAGTAGAACCACATGGTTTAAGGCATGCCACAGCTTGGGTTTATTTAAGGGCTTGAAATTTATTGGGAAACCTAAGTGTTTGCTTTCAAAATTCTTCTGAATGTTCTTTATTCAGGTTTCCCCAAAACCAAAAAAAACCCTCATACTTTGATACACCAGACTATTTTTTTAAATTGGCGTATCTGTGCACAACTGTCAACTGCAGCCCTATTCAATGGATGCCAGAACAGACATCCCACTATAAAATCCAACTGGAGTTTGTGACAACACTCCTCTGTCAACGGGAGAAGCAAAGGTTTGGCCTTGGGTAACCGATACCATCAATTTTCCCCTGCAAGAGCTTCCCCCTACATCCTGATTCATAAGGCTCATTTGAACCGACGTTTACAGCCTTGTTGTGTTACTCTGTACAGCAGACAATTTACAGGAGGGAAAAACCTGCCTCATTTGCTTTCCAGATGTGACGGACCAACTCCCCACCTCAGCCTACACCGTTCAGAGAACAACAGCAAGACTTTTATTCTCAATGAAAAACAACCTTCGGTGAAAATCCCATCTTCCTTGGTGTGGTTAGTGCCATAAAACTAAATTAAGACAACAGGGTTCACTGAATGGGGAAGTTTTCGCGTTCTGACAGAGTCTGATTTGAATTCAGAACGTGGCTTCGCTCCGGAAGATTATACTTACAGTTTTGTTTGTAAACGTTCCCAGCTCTGTTGTAATAACTGTGGTGATGTGGATCAAATGCAGAAAATGTGTGTTCTAATTTCTTTTTCACCCAGCTGCTAAAACACCGAATGATCTACATGACACATGCACATGCTGGAGTTGCTTCATTTGTTATAACGTGTAATTTCTCAAGAACAGCAGCTTTAGGTGATCTGCACTGCTGAATCCCAAAAATGCAATCTGCTTGGTCCTTGTTTAAGAAGTACATCTTAGAATACTCATGTGAATTATTTGTAAATATGACTGACTGACTTTTGTTATTTTTAGCACAACATTTGGGCTGTGCCTTGCTGCAAGCTTACGCGTCAGTGATGTGCAATATTGAAGTCATTAAAATAGCATCTGAAGCTTTTTTTCACAAACACAAGCCAAAGTCAATATCCTACCAGTTAAATAATGCATTTCATAATTATAGCAAATATTTAATTTTCACACAAATACCCTTTTGCTCTCTCAAAATCAACAGCAGCAGTTAACATGATGGTTCACAATTAATAAGGACCCAGGAGAAAACCTCACACAATCAGTACTTTTCATCTACATATTTATGAAATTTCATCAATTATTCATGTAATATTTACTACTGGGAGTGGTGAATATGACAATCATCCCTGCTGGAGAACCAGTCAGTTCTCTTTAAAATGTTGCAAGCAGCATAATTAAATTCTAAAACTGTTACATAGAGATTAAGGGACATTTTTAAGACCTGAATGTTCTGCATGAAACTATTGTTTTCAATTAACTGAACCACAATCTTCCTAATTGATCAACCCCCACACTCTTCTTCAGAAAGCCAGACTTACAGCCACAGCGTGAATCACCCTGCAATTCCCCAGAGATAGCAAATCTTACTGAAACCTCTCTCTGATGCAGTAGTTACCTAGCAGCAAAACCTAGCAACCCTGTAGTAGGAGATTAATTCCAGAGAGATCATCATAAAGTAACATCTGAAAGTCATTTTATTTAAGTATGCCATCCAAAGGTATACAAAAGCGCTACACAAGAACGCTCAGGCTCCTCAGGGTTCAGCTATAGGAACTAGAAAAGACTACCCGGCAGCACGACACGCTGCTTGTTTGTTGTTCCCCGAGATCACGTTTGCTCAGCTCTTCCCAGCGAAGGCAGAAAGAGCCCGGATCGACAGAGATGCGCAAAACACTTAGATGCGACTAAGAGATTCAAAACTCTGCCTTATCTGCAATTTAATGCTCGAGCGACGAAATCCCTTCGTCCCTGCAGCTAGTGGGTAAGTGCAAATTCCTCAGGCGTAGGTTCTGCTCAGTTCCCTGAAACCAAAGTCCTAGCAGGGCACTCAAACTGAACACTTTCTCCCCTTTCTCTTCTACCACGTAGGAAGCATTTTCCAATCACCTCAGCGTGATTGGATCTGGAGCTGTCCATCTGCATCTAACCCAACAATACCGTGCACAACCCTCACCCGAGAGGAAGGGGCTTACTCTCAAGTACTGGTACTATGGTGCCAGGAGGACAAAGATAATGCTAGTCAGAATGTAGCGTTTACCTGGAGGGATGGGTTGGCCTCGCTCCAAAATCAGGGAACAGAAAAGCTGAGCAGGGTTTCTTACCTCCCCAGTAGATCCCTGTCACACCCCGTAACACCCCTTGCGAGCTACCTGAGGCGGTTCCCCACACAGCTCACTGGGAACCTACACACTTCGCTGTACAGCTGAAGACTCCACCAGCTGACCTGCTCTTAAGACATTTGTCCTGGCAACACCCTGCAAAGTTCTTCTGCAGGCGTAGAACCCCCCTCGAGCGCTCACTGGGTTTGTATCGCACGCTCTGATTACGCAGGGAGCTGCACGCACACTTCGGAGGCGGACTTGGGCCTGGGCAGCTTTCAGAACCACTGCTCAGGCACAACTTCTGGGCTTCATTCTTCAAATTACAGAACTAGAACCTCTGGGTGTGCCCCAAAACTCCTGTCACGCAGAGGTTAGAAACATGCAAAACAAAGGGAATCCACATCTTTACTGAAAGTCTGTATTTTTCGGTCCTACTAAACGTTAGGCTTTCCAAATGTATTTGTACTTGGTGCACACAACAGCGTGGTCACCCCGTTTAAAAACGCTTTGGCGCCCTTGGGTAAGAGGCCAAATTAACAGCAAAGCTGCAGCCTTGCTTCGTTAAGAGAACAGGTAGGAAGACACGAGCTGAAGTGCCAACTTTCCCGCTTTGCTTTACTTACACAGAGCCAGAAAACCTATCCTCCAGTGAGAAGGGGAAACGTAATTCAATCCTTGGACCAGTTAAGCTCTCAGCTTTCCCCTAGGACTACTGAAGGGAGTAATAGGGGTGTGGACACTGAAGAGTAGAGCTGAGTCAGATTCCTGCCGAACTGCCATCGTCACCAAGCTGTAAGATACAACTGGACCAGGAAAACTGATGGCAAAGAGCTCTGGTATACCTCCCTGAGCTGCCAAGTCATACATTTAACCACAAAAATACATAATGGAATATGACAGTGCTTTTAAGAGAATGGTTTGGCCACAGTGAAAAATAATAAGCCAAAAAGAAAACAAATACTCTCGTGGTTCTTGTACTTCAACACAAAACAAAAGCTTTATCCGTGCCATGAGAGGAACCTGCGTGTAGACCACAGGCAACCTGGCCAGCATGGTCTGAAACCCACACGCTGACAGAAGAGCCTTCTGAATTCGTCTGCCAGAGACAGACCACAAGCAACAAAAGCAACAAAAGCAAATCTTGCAGCATTAATGGCTAAATACTGAACTATTACAACACTGAATTTATTTTTCTCGTGCCCAGCTATAGCCCTGACAGCCGCCCTGTTAGTTACAGCCAGCTTTGATCAGCAATTATTCTGAGCACTTCTGCAAGCACAACTGAGTTATTAACATCTTCAGATAGCACTGCTTACCTTAAATCTTTCCGAAACACCTTCAGTGATGCTGATTGTGAATTCAGCTATTTTAGGAGTACGGAACTTTCCCTTCTTGCGATCAGGTTCATATTCTGTTTTCGTTTTGACCACAACCTTTTTAAAAAAAAAAAACAAAAACAAACAATCAAAAAGCTGTCAGCTGAAACTAGCCACAGGAATCTTGTTTATTCATTAACTCTTCTTTCACCTGCTCATAAGCGCATCTAGCGCCACGGTTTTTTTAACCCCGTTTTGTGTAATTCTTCTTCGGAAGCTGTAAGCTGTTACTTACTTTTCCTGTCACAGCAATCATCAGCAAAATTATCTCTCAGGGTGGTTTTGATGGACCTACAGGACGACTTGTTATGCAACAATTTCACAAACATTCAACCTTTTCATCTGTGGTGGTCCTGTGCTGCTATACCAGGCAAGCATCTCCTTAGTTCAAATCCAAATCATGAAGCTTCCCACTTTGCATAGCCTGAGAACAGCCACCTCCATTTGCTTCAGGAGATCCCACTAATGGGATTGCAAACTGGAGACCAATAGGATTGAGACAATGACTGAACGGTGCCCACAGAAATCTAGCAGATGATGCCGCTGCCAGTAGCCATGTTCCATGATGGTGGGATTTTGAGTTTAAAAGAAGTGAAATGACCCATCTAGCTGCTGTCCCCTATGTTCCAGACTATAGCTCTTGGCACTCTTGGCATCTGGCTTTCAACTCAGCAGCTGCAAGCAGCAAGATGCGCAGAGACCTTTGCGTTAATGACATTTCTTGAAACACCCAAGGCTCTTTGACTTCAGTTGATTTCTTGCTACTGCCTCCAGCTACACAATTTTGCACCTTGCCTGTATTCCTAAAATACTTAAGTCAGTCACATCTCTAGTGCTCTCCTAGGCATTCTAATTGTACAAAATTTTCACATACCTAACCTATTTGCCTCATTTTTGTCTTCTACATTTTTTTAGCACCTTTTTTTCCAAAGTATCACTCTCAAGACAGGGTACAGTTTATGGTACTGACAGCGCTAGTAAGATCTAGGAGGTTGGAACTAGATGATCTTTAAGGTCCCTTCCAACCCAAACCATTCTGTGATTCCATCTGCTAAACTTTCCCCGTTGTTCCAAAGAATAAATATCTAGACCCTTTAAGATTTTTAGAATGAGATTCTATCTTTAGAGCAGCCCGTGATATCAACAGCAACCACATTATTCTGAAATTAAGATTGTGACACTCACAGGCAGCTAGGTACCGAAATTAAAGCTGTGGGTTCCCCGAGATGGTATCTAAACGTGTAACTGTACCTAGATTCAGTATCACAAAGCTTATTAGATACTTTCATGGCATTACACACATTTGTGCGGGACACAGGTAGTTTTTAAACCTATTTTAGCTATGATTAGTAAGGTAACAATTATGACTACATAACTTTATGACTGCTCAACAGCATCATGGAAGTAAACCCTCTGAAGATTTTTGGAATGTGTTCTAACATTTTACTTCCCTTCCTCCCCCTTGATGTTGCATAATCTCAGGCAACTCAAATCACATTCAGCTGACACTGAACGTACAGTTCTATCTGCTTGGTTATGTAATGTCTTCTTTTGTTTAACATACCTAAATAGGAATTTAAATCAGTTCACCCCTTTAATTTAGAAGCTGTCAAAATCATCAAATTCTTAGTGCTGCAGTCGCTACTGTTCAAGAAGTTATGCTTCACTGCCATACTGGAGCCTTCTAAGTGAGTAATAAGCAGAGGTACATGAAGTATGGCACTCCTGTTCATTATACATGAGTGTCCTCGTACTTCAGCATTTGATCTGCGTGTCAATCTTCACGCTGCTGCTTCTTTTCACATCAGTTTCTCTACTGCTGCCTTGGAGTCTGTAGCAACCAGCGAAGACATACTGACATGACTAACCAGTCACAGAAGGAAACCAGTAGGACCAATAAATACCTGTTTTTATTTTTCCCCTCTGTGTTTGCAAGAGGAAAGGAAAGCAAAGCTAATATGCAAACAGACAGTAGAAAGAGTAGAAGAGCCAATTAAATACTCCTTTTTTTAAGCTTCTAGCCTGGTTGTTCGTTCACTTTCATTCAAGGAAAACGCTGTGAAGGCAGGAGGAGTTCCGCCCTGTCCTAGCAGGAGCAATCAGGCGGGCACAGAACCTCCTGGGTTCACTACAGAGGCTGCGCTCAGGTTAAATCCATTCCCATACAGGTCCCTAGCTCAGCCTTCTGCCTAGCAGTGCAGTAACAGAACCAATTCCTTTTGGACACTGGTCCTTGGTAATCGGTTATATCCAGTCACCAGTTGGCAGGCGCTATCAGACACAGTAAGACTTCACTTGTTTTAAAGCCTGAGGGTGCAATTTTGTCCTCGGTTACAAGATTTAAACCCCCGTAACCGAGGGCAGAAAATGGACCCTCAGGCTTTCTAACAGCTGTTACGGCTTATTGCATTTATGCCTCCCAACTGGTCACCACACACAACACAGAATGATGTTGATAGCAATTAAAATGGAGGCCAAAAATTCATTTGTACTGCCTACAAGCAACACTCCACTGAGGCAAATTTCTCCAGCTAAAATTCTCTACCCTGCATGAGATCCTGAGTGGATTTTTTTTTTGAGCTATGAGGAATACACAGCTATCAGTTTATCCAGAAGCAGAACTGAGCTAGTGGAGGACACAATGCCAACAATAAAAATACAGCATGAAGATATTACCAACCGCTTCCCAGTTAAATTTTCCGTTTTCCAAAGACCGCAAAGCTTTTTTCTGCCAGATGCACACGCGAGAAACGTGCAAGGAAGTATCCTACTAAAACAGCTTACTGAAATATCTGAAAAAGCATCCTACCGCTGTATGCCTCACCTGCAGTAACACTTACTGAATTCTTTACTGCGAGGAGAGTAAACGTATTTGCAGGCTACCGCCTTCACTTCCCTAAATCCTTGAACCGTCTGTAATCAAGCACGTAATGTGGAATGTGGCGTGCGCACCTCCCTTCCAACCTGTGGGCAGCACGCTGGACTGCTCCCTTCCGGCTACGGAGCATCTGAATCCCCTCTCCGGAGGGTTTATAACCAAATCAGTTGCCAAGAACTCAGTGGCCTGTTCTCACCTAGTTATTTCAGCTTGTCTAGGGCGAGCATAAATTTCCTGCTGAAGCACAGGAGGCACACAGAAGTTCTTTCTCTCTGTGGCCACTCTGCCCGTGCACATCTTGCGGAGACACCAAGCAGTGCTTTATTCCCCCATTAGGGGGGCTTTTTCCGGACAGAGAAAATGCGCATCGTTCACAGAGAACGCACAGTACCTTCCAGATAGAGAAGACATGGCACAGGAAGGGCACAGAGAAGCTCGCGGTTGGGTGTTCCCATATTCCATTCATCAGCAGTGAAATCTATATATCCTTACTGCTACCATTTCCCACTGCTTTTTAATGCAAATCACTACCACCGGATTTCCATTCGCTGAACAGTCAGGGTTTGGGGTTTCTTCTCCCCCACAGGGCACCAGCATGCTTTAAAACACCCCCTAATTCCTGCCATTTCCGAGCCGCTCGTTACACGTAACCTATTCTTTTGTTGTTCGCCTGAGCTTTGGGTGTGATTCTCCAGGGTGGAAACTAAAGCCTACTGTACCTTATCGGGAGGTGGGAACTGCAGCTGATTGACATCCAGGGGTGTGATCAGGGGGATGGTGTCAAATCCATCCTCCAGAAGGGGCTGCTTTGTGCTCTTCTCGCTGAAATTATTCCCCAGTTTCACCATTCTTCCAGGAGAGAGGGATATTCTGCTGGCACACACACAGGCACGGAAACGCAAACCGTCAGAAACACGGGATGCACCAGACCTTTCCCCAACCAAACCCGAAATGTCGTTACGGGGGAAAAAAAAAAAACAAAAACCCCAAATTACGCGTCGGTGGCTGCAATTCGGTTACATCCTGGCGTGCGGGGCAGTCAGAACGATGGCCGGCGGTTCTACTGCCAAAGTTGATGAGAAAAAGGCCCCGCCAAAACCCCCAAAGGCCCCCAAAACCCCCGACC